ACAGGCTCGAAGCCCCAGGCCCTCTAATTCCAAAGGTAAACACCAGGGACCCTGTCCTGCTCAGCACTGGGGGGCCCCAGACTTCGGGGTTTTTCAGAGCAAGGTGCCACCACCCCAGCTCTTTTGTGCCTGCTCCTCAGAGCCCAGGTTCCCACCCTTCCCTCTCCCTGGGGCCCAGGAACAAGACACACACCTTCTCCATGGCCTCCTCATCCACCATTTTAAAGGAGCCCTCTTCAGTTAGCTGGTAGGTCGCTGGAGTGTACATCTCTGAAACCAGAGGGAGGAAGGTGTGGGGACCCTCAGGTGGCCTACAATTTGTCAGCACAGCCACTTGCTTGTTCCCTGGTACAGGGGCAAGGTCAGGAGTCCCAGTGCAGTAGAGACACTGTCCACACCTCAGGCTGGGGCACCAGCCAGCCGAGGGCCCTTCCACCTTGGGCTGCTTGCTCCCCAGAGCCCCGCAGGCCGAGCCCCTTACCATAGGGGATGAAGGGCCGGTCACTGGGCGGATGCAGCAGGAAGTGTTTCTCTCCCGAGACCACACAGTAGAGGTTCTCATAGTGGTCCTTATGCACTGCCAACACAGAGGAGGCCCCGGGAGGGATGTGAGGGGCCAGGCACAAGAGGGGCAAACAACCATGCTGGACACCTGGCACCCCAAGACAGCTTGTGGGGTAAGAGAAGAGCACGCCACGCCAGAGCAGAGAGGGGGTGCCAAGGTGCCTGGTGGGTTGCAGGCATTTCTGATCTCTGTCCTCCAGGGACTGACACCTGCCAGGCCCTGGGCTCATCTGCACTGAGGAGAATTCTAGCAAACAGGGCTCCCCCGAGTTCACCCCTGGCCTAGATGGCCTTTGCGAAACTTTCTAGGGACGCAGAAGAAACAATGCCCTCACCCCAATGCTATGGGTACCTTCCCCACCTGAGCTGCCAGGGGGCCCCCTCTTGCGTCTGAGCCTAGAATCCCAAGAGAAATCTTAGAGGAAAGTCACTCTAACTTCCGTAAGGCCCAACCTTCCACTCTTGGTCTCCCCACCTGATACCTACACGATGTCACTGCAGCCGCCTCCCCCAGCCAGAAGTTCACAGCATCCGGCATCTTTCCTGCAGGTGGGAGGGAAGAGGGAGAGTTAGGAGGGTGGCCTGAAGGCGAGGCTTGGAGTAACCACCTTACAGCGATGCTGGGCCAGGACGTGGGTGGGCCTTGGCCAGCTTTCTAGGGACCCAGAAGAAACAGGGAGAGAGCAGAGGGAAAGGGCAGAGGCGGGCCACTGGCGAGGGGCAGCCATCTTCCATTCATTGAGCTGAAGTTGAGGCCTGGGGACGTGAGCGTTCAGTGCACAGCACCTGACCCTGTAGGGCCCAGAGTGTGGGCCAAGTCATCAGTGACGAGAAGCAGCAGGTCCCCCATCTCCACTCACCCAGCGCCTCGGAGGCCCAGGGCACGTGGGGCTCCAGATCAGACAGCAGCTGGGGCAGCTCGGTGGGGAGGTTGGAGCACTGCTTCTGTACGTAGAGGACCCCTGGGTGCTGGGCTCGGCCCTCCAGTACGTCCAGCACGCAGCTCAGGGGCAGGCGGCGCTCGGCGGGCATCACAAAGCGGTCCCCTCGCACGGCATCCGCGTAGCCATCCGGGGTCACCGCCACGCTCACCTCCGTGGAGCCCGCCGCGGCTCTGGAAGAACGGACATTCGGACATTCGGCCCCCGCCCAGATGCCACAGAGCACCACCCACACCCCCGGGGCGGCCCCACCTGAGGTAGGGAAGCGACCACTTCTGCAGGGCTGGCCAGTGCTGCAGGGCGCGGCGGATGATGCAGGGCCTGTTGGGGCAGACCCAGTCCCGGTAGAAGTGGAGTGGAGTTGGGGGCTGGTCCAGGTAAGGCACAGCAAGAGGCACGTTGAGCTCTGAGAGAAAGAGGGGAGCGGGGGCTGAAGCCAGTAACATCCTGCCGCTGCCCCACCGTCTGCATCAGAGATGCCCCCCGGTAGGCCACCCTGGGTCCCTAGACAATGCCCACTGGTGACCAAGGGATCCTGGACAATCAGAAACTGAAGAATGAGGGACACTTAAGGGAGAAAGTGTGACGTACTCACAAACACACCACTCTGGGCCACAAGAGTTGACAGGGCCAGGGCTACTGTTCAGCCCATAATCCCAACCCTCCATGGACCATGCCTGGCCTGTACCATGGACCATGCCTGGCCTGTACCATGGACCATGCCTGGCCTGTACCATGGACCCTCAGCTTTCCTCTCTGGAGTGGCCAACCTCCTGGCATCCAGTAGGAAAGGCAGCACGGAGGTGGTACTGGGAGCTCCAGAATGAGTAGAGCTGAGGCCCAAGGTTAAGGGCTGGGCTGAGGCTGTGTAAAGCACCTTCTAACAGCGATACTTACTGAGCACCTCGAATGTGCTCAGTACTTGGCTTGGCCAATGTGGAGGTTTCAAGAGATGGGCCAGTCATCATCTCAGGGAGCTTACAACATAAATGGGGAGACTGACCGCCTCACAAAACCACAGGAGGAAAAGTGAACGGCATCACCATCCTCGGACACCCAGGCTGCCGTGTGCACTGGGCAGGTTGTGCAGTGAGCCATCTGGGCAGGTGTCTAGTGGTCCTGGGTCACCTGAATAAAAATCTCCTCCTCCCTCACTCCTGTCATCCTATTGACTGTCTCCGAGTCCTACTGATTCTACCCCCTATGTCTCTCAAACCACCCCCTCCTCCTTTGACCTGCTAGTGTGCACATTCACCAACCGCCTTTGGGTCCTCAAATGTCACCTTAATGAGGCTTCCCTACATGGCCCCCTCTTTTTTACTTATTGGGGTGACATTGGTTCACAAAACCATACAGGTTTCAAGCGTATAACTCAACAAAGCATCATCTGCACACTGCATCGTGTGCCCACCGCCCCCAGCAACGTCTCTTTCCATCCCCTTTCCCCCTTTGACCACCTCTACCTCCTCCGACCCCACTTTCCCACTGGCTATGACCACACTGTTGTCTGTGACTATGTGGGGTTTTTTGTTTTGTTTTCTTGTGCCTGTGTGGTTTTTTGTGGGGTTTTTTTTCTTAATCCCTTCACCTTCTTTCATCCAGTCCTCCAACCCGCCTCCCCTCTAATAGCTATCAGTCTGTTCCATGTACCTATGCCTCTGTTTCTATTTTATTCATCAATTTATTTTGTTCATTAGATTCCACATTCGAGATCATATGTTATTTGTCTTTCTCTGACTGGATTATTTCACTTAGCATAATAATCTCCTGGTCCATCCATGCTGTTGCAAAAGGTAAGATTTCCTTTTTTGCGGCTAAGTAGTATTCCATTGTGTAAATGTACCACAACTTTTTTTTTTAAATATATTTTTATTGATTTTTTTCCAGTGGGGAAGGGAGAGGGATAGAGAGTTAGAAACATCGACTTCCTTGGGCGCTATCAGCTGCCTCCTGCACACTCCCTACTGGGGATGTGCCCACACCAAGGTACATGCCCTTGACCAGAATCGAACCTGGGACCTTTGAGTCCGCAGGCTGACGCTCTATCCACTGAGCCAAACCGGTTAGGGCTGTACCACAACTTTTTTATCCACTCATCTACTGATGGGCACTTGGGCTGTTTCCAGATCTTGGCTACTGTAAATAATGCTGCAATGAACCAGGCCATCCTTTAAAAAACTGTAACCTTCTCCCAATAACCCTTATACCCCTTCCTTTATTTTCCTTTTTTAAAAAACTTGATTTTAGAGAGGGAGAGAAACATCGATGTGAGAGAGGTTCATAAATGGTTTGCCTCCCATATGTACCCCAACCAAGGATTGAACTCAACCAGGGATCAAACTTGCAACCTAGGTATGTGCCTTGGACCAGGAATCAAACCTGAGACCTTCCAGTGCACAGGACTTACACTCCAACAGAATGAGCCACACCAGCCAGGCCCCTTTATTTTTCTATCATTTATCACCATCTAACGCACTACGTATTTCACTTATCCAATTGTTTATTAGTCTCTCTCTTGGTAGAATGTGAGCTCCATGAGGGCAGGGATGCTTGTCTTGTTCACTGGTGCATCCCGGGAACTAGAGTGGTACTGAGCACACAGTGACTGTTCAGCAAATATTTGCTTAGTGGTTGGATGAAAGTCTCCATCTCCTGGCAGGATGGTTGCTACAGTGAACCAACTTGTTTCCTTGGCTTAATCTACTTCCTCGCAAAGCATCACTCACGCTGGCCCCAGTCATTTCCTAAAATACAATCTCATCTTGTCACACCCCCAGTAAGAACATCCTCTGATGACTTACCTCTTACTCCTCACAGAACACTGCCTGCCTTGTCACGCATTCAGGCCCAGCCTCCTGTTCCCGTCTGTGCCTGGTGCCTGCCCCTTACCCACACTCCTCAGGCAGTGCCAAACTTTGTTCCTACTGCTCACTCAGTCTAGAATGCCTTGCTCCTGGCTTCTGTAAAGGGTACAGGGCTTTACTTTGTTATTTTCATCCTTGAGGTCTAGCCTGAATGTCTTAACCCCCCCATGGGTGGTTACCGCCTCCTGCTCCAATCGGCCACTGCATTCATTTTCCCTCTGGGGTCACGCTCTGTCTCTCACAACCGCATCTCACCGGTCATCTTTGCCTTGCTTTGCAATCAGTTGGAAAGTGAATGTCATTAGATCAAAACTTGGAACTGAGTGGAAAACAGACCCTGGTGGGCCCAGGAAAACTGAAATGAAAGAGCTGGCATGTGAGCTTGCTTCATGGACAGAGGGTAAGATGAAACCTGCCAAGCAGACAAGGGAGCAGAGGGAAGGAACTGGCGAAGGGCCTTCCCAGTCATGTCAGCCCATCAAAGCAGTCACCCTGGGGTGGGGGTGGGGGGGGTAATATGGGGCTCAGTAAATCTCCCTCTTGTCCTCGCTAGGATTTTTTAAGTACAGGAAAACGGACTTTTTTCTTTTTTTAACCCTTTGTAGTTTCTGTAGTTACTTCAGCTTTACTTCCTCAGCATTTAATAGTTCTTCCTGTAGAGCAGGGTAAGGAACATCGGCCTGCCGTATAAGGCGGGGCGCACAAGGCCACAAAAATCATGTGGTCCGGCCCTGCCAAGGCATTGGGGTGAGTTAATTAAATGTCTGACCCAGTACAGCAGGCTAATTTTTCAGTTGATAATTTGTATGGCCCGAGAATGACGTTATAAATACCCAAGTGGCCCTTGGCAGAACAAAGGTTCGCCGCCCCTGCTTTAGTGAATGGCCACTGTTTTTTCCGGGGTTTTCGAAGTGAGGGGATTTCAAAAGGGATCCGAACAATTCCTTTGGCCAAATTCTTCTGCTGGAAATTTAGCCAATAACACTCACACGTGTGCACAAACACTCCAGGCCCAGTGCCTCCTCACTGCTCCTTGGACACACCAGGCACACTCCCACCCCAGGGCATCTGCCTGCCCCTGCCCTCTACCCTATGCTCTGCTCTCCTCCTTCAAGCCTGTGCTCAAATGTGGCCTTATTAAGGCGGCCCATCCTGACCATCTTACTTAAACCTGCAACCTGCCCTGCGGCCCTATACACTGAGGTCTATCATTCTGCTTTGTCCCCGCTCCCCCATAGCACTTATCCTGTAACACGTTTCTTTACCATATCATCTACTCACTCAGTGTGCCTATGACTCACGGTCTGTCTCCTCACTTGGAACTGTAAGCTCTATGAGGACAGAGGTCAGTGATGTATCCTAAACACTCTGAACAGACCCGGGCGCACTGAAGTGCTTTACGTACAGTCATGAGCCACTTAACAATGTTTTGATCAACAATGAACTGCAGATGCAACGGTGGTCCCAGAAGGTTTGTGGTGATGCTGGCAGTGACATAAAAGTACGTACAGCACATACAATTACAGTAGCAGGCTATAATATGTAGGTGTGTGTAAATGCGCTCTATGATGCTTGCACAACAATGAAATCACCGAGCCTCACATGCAGCACATGACTGTATTTGCTAACTGATGCTCAAAGTATTCGTGGCAGCACTATTGGAAACAATAGACTGGAAATGACCTAAACGTCCAGTAAGAGTGGGCTGATTCAGTAAATTACAGCACTAGTACCCAGGTGTGAAAAAGATTGCGGTACAGGGATATGGAAGGATCTCCAAGATACATACCCAGAAGAGTATGTTTAACAGGCTATCATTTGTATAAAAAGGGAGGTATACAGTTTTGTGTGTGGATACAAACAGCATTTTTTTTATTTTTGGTTACTCTTCACCCAAGTATATTTTTTCCACAGATTTTTAGAGCATGAAGGGGGAGGAGGGACACACATAGATTGGCTGCCTCCTGCACAAGCCCTTGACCGGAATCGAACCCACGACCCGTCAGTGCACAGGCCGACGCTCTAACCAGTGAGCAACACTGAGTCACACCGGCCAGGGCTAAACAGTATTTTTGGAAAGATGCAAGCTGGGGCTTAGAGTGGGAGGAAAGCTTACTTTACGTTATAAATCCGTTATTTTTTAAGTCATGTGCCCATGTTCTATTCATTGGTGAGAAATCGCTTAAAAATAGAAAGGGGAGAGCGGAAGGGAGGGAAAAAGAAGGGAGAAAAATAAAAACCAAGCAGCGGGGGGCCAGGGGTCACTGGCACCGCCGCCGCCGATTCTCCCCGAGCTCTGCCCGCCCCGCTGGGAGGAGTCGTTCTTGACTAGAGTCCAGCAGGGGTTCAGGGAGGGAGAGTCCGACCACCCCGGGGACTTCGCGACGGGAACGGGAGAAAGGCAGCCACGGGCCCCTGGCTGTCAGCGCGGGCCGGCCGTGGGGAACAGGACGGCACCCGCACGGCCAGTCCCTTCAGGAACCCACGAGGGTGCGCAAACACGGGAGGAGGAGGTTCGGCAGAGAGTGATCGGAGAGGAGGCATCAACCAGGTCGGTGCACGAGGTTTTGCGCTCCTCGAGGATAAGAACTAGGGCGCGCCCCGGGGTCGGCGGCCCAGGAAGCACCGGGGCCACGCGACTCGGGGACCCAGGCCCGGCGTGCCCACAGCCCTCCCGCGTCCTGAGACTGATCTGCAGTCAACGCCAGACACCACAGCCTCAGCGAACCCACTCACCCCTCACCGCCGCCGGGAATTCTCGTAACTCCCTCTGCACGGCGTCCAAAGCCGCCTCCGCCATGACGCCGCCGCGGCCGCCGCCCCAGGCCCCGCCCCCCGCCTGAAGACCCCGCCCTCCGCTGCAGGCGGCCCTTCCCCTCCTGAAGA